GGAGACGATCTCTTGTGGCAAAAGAGGCATTACAAATCTGAAAGACAGAAATCACTGCGCTAATGCCTCTCACAGTAGAAAAAAAAAAGAAACTCATTAGATGTGGCTATTCACTAAGTAAGACAGACATATTGATCCTACCTGGCACTTGTGGGGTCTCTCTGTTGTGTGTACTTGTTTGATATGTCCATTCAGGTGGTCTGGTCTGAAAGAAAACAGTGCAAATTAAAGTCTGTGCAAATTAAAACTGATATGCCTGAAATCAAAACTCCCTGTTACCTTTGTGTGGAACTCTGTATATTAGTATTATATTACTTTCTCACTTGCATGAGAATCAATCACGAGAAGGAAGCTACTCAAATTAATTACATTCATTCATTCATGTCTCAGAGAGCTGTCCTCCCACAGTGTGCAAGCTGGCAACGAGCTACAGGTGAGCTGTATGACATTAATATAACAAAGGAGTCCTTAAGAGGCTCCTTTATTTTAAAAACAAAATAATCAAATCAAGGCTGAAGATAAAGTAGCATTTTCCTCAACAGAGGGTTTACTAATAACATTAACAGTGTCACTGTTCTATTGAGGGGCTCTAGGAAGCCAGACTGGTGACCCTGTATGCTCACCATCCTGAAGCCAAAGTAGCTTAAGAGAAAACATAAAAGTATGTCTTCACAAAGGCGGCCAGTAAGAACTCTTCAGTCATACCTGTGCTGAGACACACAAGATTTCTGGAAAATTTGTGGAGAAAAAAAAAAACTGCTGCTTTCTTCATCATGTCAGAAACATTAACCTCCAAAGCAGTAGGTGGAGGCAGTGAGCTAAAACCCAACCTTCAACTGGTTTGTGTATCTGAAAACAAAACATAGTGGTGATACTTTAACGATTACTTACACTGGTTATCCTGAATTTGACAGCTGTGGCAGGACTCATAGTGGGAGGTAAAGTAGTGAAAATGTTATATGAAAGGTGCATGCATGGCTGCACGGCAGTAGTTAGAAACCATGGACAAGATCCTTAGCTGTTGGAATGATGGTGGCGTCTGTGCATCTCTAAAAGCTGCTTTGACTGTTAAATATAGAAGCACTCACTTGATACCGTCACATAATGGACTAAATTACATGTGCTGATTCACATATGTACCTTTAATTAAATTAAGGAACAACAAAGCACACTTCTGTCTGGGATGATCTGGAAATTTAGGGCATTAAGACCCAGTAACAGCACTGTGTGTGTTTTTTGTTTTCTGACCAGTTATTATTATTATTATCATCATTATTATTATTTATACATCTCATTCAACTCACCTTGAAAACCCTTTACCGCAGCTTTGGCACACATAGGGTTTGCCAACTGAGCCGTCGTGGGAGCGCACATGGTACGACATCCTGTCCTTGCGTTTGAACCGGAGCCCGCACACATGGCAGGCGTATGGCTTCTCCCCGGAGTGGGAGAGCTTGTGTCGGTTCAGGTGGTACACGTCGCGGAAAACTTTCCCGCAAATGTCACAGCCGACGTGCCGCCTGGTCCTCTCTCTCTTGCGGCCGTTGTCCAAGGCGAGGCCTCCGTGTAACTGCACGCCGTTTTCCAGCAGCCCGGGCTGAGATAGAAGAGAAATCCCGGCCGGGGTTGACAGGCTGTCGCTGAGGTTGTTTACAGCCCCGCTGGAGGCTCCGTGCTGCGCTTCGTGGTTCTTCAAGCGGGAAGCCTCGGTGAAAGCTTTGCCACAGGTCCCACAGGGAAACAGTCCGTTGTCTTTCTGGGGGCTGTTGTTAAAATGAACAGCCTCCACGGCTCCGCCAGCTTTCTTTGGTCGCCCCCTGCACCGTTTCGACCCCGGGGAGCCAGCGTCGTGAGGAAACGCGCTCCCCGTTATTTCCGCGGATGGGGAGACTGGCAGTCCCTCGACGGGCTCCAACATCGGCACCGACGACTCGCCGCCGTCCTCCAGAATCGCGGCCGCGTCTTCACCTCCGTCCACATGCATCTGCATGCTGTTAGCAAAGCTCTGACCGTTCACCAGCATTCCCGTTCCGTTTACCAGACCCTGGTGAGCCACCGGGAAACCGAGCTCCGTGGCCCCCGTGGCCTGGAACAGACTGGCATCTCCTCCCCGAGAGGTCGGGACGAGGATTTGTACGTTGGACTGTTTGATAACCTCCTGACATATCTCAATAACCGAGCGCATCAAAAGAAATTTGGCAGCTGTCATCAACTCCGGGAAACACTCCAGTCGGACCACGATCCTAGACGTGTACGCGAAGTCCAGGATGTCTTTAAAAACTTTCGGGCTGATTGTATGCATCTCCAGCTCCTTGGCGTCGCCGTCGCCCTCAGTCTGACGGCTGAAGACCGACTCGAAGTACTCGCTGCAGGCGGCTAATACTGCTTTATGGGCAGGAAAGCTTTCCTCGCCGACACGCAGGATCACATCGCAGAACCTGCCTCCATCTTTCCTCTGAATGTTGAGGTTGTGTAGCATCTCCGCACTGTGCTTGCTCACCTGGTAGGTGTACGAAGAAGTCCAAGACGGCTCTGCTACTTTCTCCATGCCGAATTCATCCAATAACAATGGTTGTTGGCGACAAAGGTCGGAGAAATGGCAGATTATGCGTGAGGATTTCGATCAACCGAAAGCAGCTAGCTACAAAATCCAAAACCAGCCGCCCCTCCCGTCGTTTTAGCATCTAACGTTAAAGGCTAGCAGTAGCAGCAGCAGGGAAAAATGGCAGCCCCCCAGCTTCCTGTGAACTTTGACCCTGCTTTCTTCAGGGTGGGGGTCGCTCGCTTTGTAATAATAAAAAAAATATATCGATATCAGTGCTTTGACAGTGAATGTGTATTTTTTTTTATTTTTCTCCGGTGGGATCGGCGCTGCAGCAGTACTCCGGCACTGCAGGGGTCTTTCATTTCTTCATGCCTTGTGTTTGTACGCAGGTCTCTTCCTGCCTGCTGTCTGTGAAAACCCCTCCCCCAACCAGCCAACCACAACCCCCCCCCTCCTTCCGTCACTCTTTATGAGCGCTGTCTGTGAGCCTATTCAAAACACATGCAGAGCACAATGCACCAGTCACTTCAGGTAAGGGTCGAGCTGCACAAGGCAATACAACTGTACTTATTAAATATACATCTCCACTGATGAACTGTAGCAATAATTTGGCTGTTTACCAGTTTTAGAAATGCGGGGGGGCTTCAGTTATTATTATTCCTCAAGTGGAAAAATCACTAAATTACCGAGGTTGTCCACTCATCTGCTGACACCGAACACTGCAGGCTTAGGTTTTCCCAGCTTGTTTATGGCAGCGGAACCCAATCTACATTTGAATTTGGAGGTAGAGCCGAAGCTCTGATAAAACTGATGACACATTAGGAAAATCTTGAACCTCTCACCTCTACCGTGAAGGAATTTTCACATTTTAGAATTGATTTCATGCTATTCCCCTCTGAAATGACAATTCTATTTACCACAACTCACTGGGCGACTTCAATAGTTACACTTTGCTAGAACCAGATTGGACCCCTTTTACATGTAGAATAGCCATAATTATTCATAACAGACTCAACAAGGTGCAGGAAACAGATGTTGGGTCATCATGCACCACGTAGTTGCTGCAGATGGACATCCATGATGTTGGAGCTGGTGACTGGAGTCCATTAATTGCAATTGTGCAATTCTTGTACAATTCTTCTGACGAAGTTGTACTTTTGTATTTTCTTACTCAGTTGTATATAGCATTTGTATTTCTATTTTATTCTATTGTATAATATTTTATTATATTGTATATAGTATTTTATTGCATTCCAGTGTTTTCTAATTTTTGCTACATCACTTTGCACTTTGGCTGTAACAAAACAAATTTCCCAGCTGTGGGACTAATAAAGGTCATCTTATCTTATTAGAGTAACATGGCAGTGATTCTGGTGTAAAGTTTGAGAATGAGCTTTGTGTATATCATCCTGCTGGAAGCGGCCATCAGAGCACTGGCACACAGTGGTCTATAAAGGGATGGACATCATCAGGAAGAATACTTGTGTAAGAAGACCCAAGTAGATCAGCAGTTTCTGAAATGTTCAGTGCAGCCCATTTAGCATGACATGTTCAAAGTTCAACCCCAATCTGATGCTCCATTTAAACTTCAGGTGATATTCTTGATTACATCTACATGTCCAAATTAGGGTGTTGCCATGTGATTGAAACCAGTATCTAATCAGACAGCAGCTGAATAAATGTCCCTAATAAAATGTTTAGGTGTATATACCCACAAAGATTGAGTGCAATGATCAATCCACACACCACCACCTTAAATATTTCACAAGTACTCAAGATAAAATTTAAAAAGCAACCTCATTAGATTCTCATAATTAAAGATCAGATTTACAATGAACATTTAAGGAGATCTTGTAAATACAATCTTTTGCAATCTAAAGTTTACCTTTAAAAAGTTTAAACTTTGACCATTTTAGTAATTTCTAAACTAACAGTTTGTACTGAGATTGTGTTTGAATTACGAGTTTGTGACCCTTGACCATGTTAAGGTGAACAAAAACCAACATCTCAGACCAGTGTGAAGTACTGCTTCTGAATTACACTCAAAACAATTATTTTCTGTTTCACAAAAGTACAAGTTACTGCAACCATGTGTCTTGTTAGTGTGGAAAGTTTTACAACTTAGTAGCAGGTGTAAGCATTCAACCACGTAAACATTTAATTGCATTAAAGAGGAAATACAAAAAATGTTTAATCAAGATTTTATTTATTAATTCTATTTGTGCTTTTTATAACTTAATAGCACACAAACTGAATCCCAACCACCCTCAAAAAAAATGACTGCGAGCAGTGTTGCCCCCATTAGTGACCAGTAGGATTGGAGAGGATACAGTT